TCACAAAGGGTGTTTCCAAAAAAGAGCACTGTGAATACAAAGGGCCTTTCTGTATATGCTCATAAGAAAACAAGTTTAGTATTTTTATTACTTTCTGAGTGACGTTAGTAGTTCACATTATCTACTCTGAAATATTCGCCTCTAAAGTTTGAAGAGTTACCCCCTAATAATAATCTAGGAATTTCTAAACAAGAAATTATTTACCGTATTAGCTGAAGTAATACACGTAACTAGTTGAAAGAGTTCCACTTTTTTGTTTTTAAAGTTGAACAGTTTAATTGTGGTTAAAAAAAAAAACTTTTCTAAAGAACATGGTGTTCTGGGACCAAAATAGCCTTATGTTCCACCTCCCAGGAACATTGCATTATAACACTGGATTTATAGGAACTAGTCTCTCCCCAAAACCTGGCCGCCAGGGTTGTGGGTTTCTGTTGGCTAAACAACACGAAACCCTTGCTACACTGTGACTGTTTCTGCTCCTTCACTTTAAGTAGACTAACAAGCCTATGTGTACAACCTTACAGGTGAAGCTCTTTCAGCAAGAAGTTAAAGTCAGGAACGAACATGGTGGAAACAAATTAATCTTCTTTTTTTTTTTCACTAGACTTAAAACTGGAAATTGACTTCTGAACTTTCTGACGCCTTCTTCACACGTGACGTGAGGTCCACCTTGAGGTCAAGCAGAATGGCACAGGGCTGCCAACCAGTCTCCTGAGGAGTGACACAGGGAGGCCCAGCCTGGTTACCCACGCCAACAGCTGGAAAAACCATTGCTAAGCTTGCAATAATTGACTTAGAACAAAGGTCAGCAAACGTAGTAAAGGGCTAGACAGTAAACATTCTAGGCTTTATGGCTACACAGTCTCTTGCAGCTACTTGGCTCAGCTGCTTCAGAGCAGAAGCGCCGCAGGTCACACACACGTGACTGAGCGGGGCTGTGCTCTAATAAAGCTATTTAGACACTGAAAGTGGAATTTCATAGTTTTCACGTCATAGTCCTTTTTTTCCCCACACAAAAACAGGTGGTAAGCTGGATTTGGCCCAAGGGCCCTAGTTTGCTGACCTGACTTAGAAGTTTTCTAACTGGGAAAAGAGGCACAGAGATCTGAAAACAAGCAAGCTAGTTCAGTCATACTTTTCATGGCTGGGAGTTGGAAGCTTTGGGGCATTGCAAATGTAAATATGTCCTGTAAGATTCATTAAAAAGTAATTCAGTTTAGTTTCTATGTTGTGTACCATAGTGTACTTTTCTGTAGGATTTTTTTACATGTAGAATGATGCTGGGTTTTTTTAAGTTTATTCCCTCCCTATATAGTCACAGACTGTCCCACTTTGGGTTTCCACAAAGTGAATTTAGAATAATGTGTAATTTAATACCTACTGAGTTGTGTCATCTTAAAAAGAAACTTAGCCATATTTTTAAAGCAAAAGTAGATTGAGTTGGTGTTTATTTATTTTGCAAGGTTTGTACTGACACTGTACTTGTGTATTTATTATTCATAGCTTTCTTGATATTGCCTATGGATTAGAAGCATCAGTGGCTCTATCTCACTATTTGAAGACAAATCTCCTAAAAAGTAAATGTACGCTCTAAACAGCTGAAATAGGCCAGAATTTCCTGTAAACAAGCTTCACTTTCATTACAGTGAAGAGCTATTGCTCCAAGTCAAACTTGCCATTTAATGTAAATTAATTTAAAAGCCTTGCTGTATAAAACTATCATGTAAGTGTAAAGGATTCTTCCTATTCTTGGTATGAGACAAATTATGACTTAAAATGAAATGTGTGTTCCTCTAAAGTAAAATCCAAATGTTATCTATTAACATTAAAATTTAAGACATTTTTCTTCAAATTATAAAACACACCAAAAATCCTAACCTTTGCTTGAGTTTTTCACCATAAAAATGAATAAAGCAATTGCCAAGGTCTTTGCATACTCTAAGAGAAATGTTAAAAACACATGACATAGCTTTCATGTTGTTGGAAGTTCTTACTGACTCAAAGCCTTAATGCTAGAAGAACTACCATTTGCTTGTCAACACAATTCAGGATATTCCAGTTTGATGTCATTTGTATAGTGCTCCATGTTCCTTTATAAATCAACAAATGCAACAACAAATGCACAATGCTGCCTCATTTTTAAAAATATTCTAGAAACTTAAGGGAAGCTTCTCAAAGCTAACAGGCATTTTTTCCTCTGGTTGGGCTTACCATATAATAAAAACTAAGTTACTGGTCTAACTGGCTAGAGTCAAGATGAAAACTGTGCAGAGTAACCAGATGGAAAGCACGACTGGTCTCACTAAGTTTATCACTTGGCCTTGACTCTAAGATCTGCCCCACCCCATCCCACCCCATGGCCCTTACCACAGCTGATTCTGCTATAGCACAAAATCTGAAACTTAAGGTACCTTAAGACTGAATAGGAGACGAGGTTTTAGCAGGTGAGTGAAGCCGGTCTACTGCCCAGGTTGCAATCTACCTGGCTGTTCATTCCACTGTGAGGGGAAAGCACATCCTCTATTGTATTTGCGTCTTTAGGATTTTAGGAAGGACACATTGCTCTAAGTGTAAAGGGTTTACTCTACTATTACAAATAACCAGCACAATCTGGTGTTTGCCAAAAGTAGGAAATTTTGATTTAGAGCTCTGAACTATACAGCTATGTTAGTACAGCAAATGAAAGAAATGATCCTGTTGTTTAGACTGTATCTAAAACAGCCACCCAGACCATACACACTACCACTTCATGTTTCAGACTACTAAACACCTAGGTAGCAAACTTTCATCAGTAAAGTTGATGTGGAAAAAAAAAATCTAAATATGCAAGCTGCACTTATTACAAGATTTTGAGGAAAAACATTTTAAGACGCTTCACTAAAAACAAAAAGGAATGTGAATTCTGTCACTGTTAGGTGGTGCCAACTTTTAAGATGGTATCTGGCAAAGGAGGATTACAATAAGAATCCAGTGTGATATGTGACGCTAGAAAAAACAGATTAACTTCCTCTCAGTCACCTCAACTGGAATTGGTTGTTTTGCAAACTAATACAAGACTATATAAGGGTGTGAAGGAATCAAGGATGAGTCTGAAGATAAATCTGTAGGAAGTAACAATATTATTTGGGCAGAAAGTGCCTTCTTGAGGGAACGCCTCTTTTCATGTCATGCTTAGCAAGGAAGTTATTTATAAATTCTTGAGTTAGGGGAAATATGGAGTCCAGACTCAAGCAAAAGTCCAGGACTAGATGGCTTCACAGGTGAATTCTACCAAACATTTAGAGAAGAGTTAACACCTACTCTTCTGAAACTGTTCAAAAAACTGCAGAGGAAGGAACACTTCTAAACTCACTCTATGAGCCCATCATCACCCTGACACTAAAACCAGATAAAGATATCACAAAAAAAGAAAATTACAGGCCAATATCACTAATGAATATAGATGCAAAAATTCTCAACAAAATATTAGCAAATCAACTCCAATGATGTACTAAAAGAATCATACACCATGATCAAGTGAGATTTATCTCAGAGATGCAAGGATTTTTCAGTATCTGCAAATCAATCAATGTGATACACCACATTAACAAATAGAAGAATAAAAACCATCTGATAATCTCAATAGACAGAGAAAAAGCTTTTGATAAAATTCAGCATCCATTTATGATGAAAACTCTCCAGAAAGTGGGCAAAGACAGAACATACCTCAACATAATAAAGTCCATAATATGACAAACCCACAGCTAACATGATACTTAATGGTGAAAAGCTAAAAGCATTTCCTCTAAGATCAGGAACAAGACAAGGATGCCCACTCTCACCACTTTTACTCAACATAGTTTTGGAAGTCCTAGTCATAGCAATCAAAGAAGAAAAAGAAATAAAGGGAATCCAAATTGGAAAAGAAGAAGTAAAACTGTCACTGTTTGCAGATGATATGATACTATACATAGAAAACCCTAAAGAAGCAACCAGAAAACTACTAGTGCTTATCAGTGAATTTGGTAAAGTCTCAGGATACAAAATTAATGTACAGAAATCAGTTGCATTTCTATACACTCACAACAAAATAGCAGAAAAAGAAATTAAGGAAACAATACCATTTACCAATGCACCAAAAAGAATAAAATAGCTAGGGATAAACCCAAGGAAGCAAAGGACATGTACTCCAAAAACTTACATAAGACACCGATGAAAGAAACTGAAGAGGACATAAACTGATGGGAAGATACACCATGTTCTTGAATTGGAAGAATCAATATTGTTAAAATGGCCATACTACCCAAGGGAAATACAGATTCAATGCAATCCCAATCAAGTTACCAGTGACACTTTTCACAGAGCTGGAACAAAAAATGTTAAAACTCTGTATGAAAACACACAAAAGACCCTGGATAGCCAAAACATTCTTGAAGAAGGAGAATGGAGATAGGGGAATCATGATCCCTGACTTCATACTATACTACAAAGCTACAGTAATCAAAAACAGTAATGGTACTGGAACAAAAACAGACAAATAGATCCAAGGAACAGGACAGAAAGTACAGAAAAATACCCATGCACTTATGGTCAATCTACAACAAGGTAGGCAAGAATATACAATGGAGTCAAAAGACAGAGTCTTCAATAAGTGGTGCAGGGAAAACTGGACAGCCACCTGTAGAAGACTGAAATTGAACATACTCTTAACACTATATACAAAAATAAATCATGAATAAATTATTAGCTCAAACCAAAAAACTAACCTTAGAAAACACTTTTCCAAACCACATATAATATGCTAAATGATTAACATGCACTATATAAAGCTGATATTCTCTACTTTCTGGAATGATAAAGGAACTTTCTATTTTCATTTACTTCACAAGAAAAAACTTCAAGCTCTCAACCAAAAGAATAGGCTACTATAGCTCTGAAGAAATAAGAGATCTATTCAGTTGGACTGCTGTGCATTTTTTTAAGATTCTCAGGTCACAAGAATAAGAAAAAGAAAAAAGCCACTGTGTTATCAACTATTTACAGAAGAGAATATTTATAACCTGGTCATTAGAACTCTTATTTCATAGGTCATTCCTAAAACATGGCAACAGCTATTACACAAAATACTGCTTTTTAATTATATTCATAATAGGCATTTCATCCATACAAAAAAAATAAATAAATAAAAGCCCTACACTGGGTACCCTTTATCCTTAAAACAGAATGGTTAAGGTCTCAGACTTGGTTTTTCTACCAGGGAGCAATTCTTCCCCCGTCACCCTCCAGAGAGTGTCAGAAAATGCGAAGAGCTTTGAAGAGACTAGAATCCCATTCAAACTTTCTTTGAAAGTAGCCATGATGAACACTCTCTTTTTCAAACAGGCCAAATTATGTTACTTCTAGTAAATCATCCAGTAAGAGCCAATGAACCTGGCTTCCAATTTCAAGCTATTTTTTTCTTTTCTCAGAAATCTTCATAAAAATATATGCATTCAAATTTAGAACATTTCTCACTTCCATCATGGTGTTGCAATAAAAATAGATTTATCTGCTTATAAAGAGTATTTGGTAATAAAAAGTAACTGAATGGTAAAAAGCCATCTCAGGGTCTGGATTTTCCTGTGCACATTTTCAGAATTGGTACAGAACCCAGTGCCATGCAAAGGGTAATTCTTCCTCCTCTGTTCATTTTCTTGGGAAGTTTCCCTTGTATAAAAGGAGAAGGTCCCAAATTAACAATCTATCTTTATGGCATCTGCATACACACACAAATATACAAGAAAGTCCAATGATTCTTCATTTTTCTACTACCGTAGTGATGTTTCCAAATATTTGGTGAAATCCAGAGGCAACTGAGTAGAAACTTCATTGCAATGTCTTTTGACTAGTTGATTTAAATCTTCATGCAAAAATGAATCCCCCTGTAAAACTTTATCCTAAAAAAATATTAAAAGTATGAGTTAAAAGTTCTTATGCCATAAGCAAAAGCCAAGCTGTGAGCAAAGCTAAAAATGGCAACAACTGACACCAAACCAATGCATGAAACTTAACAATGACAGGTGCTGGGTCAAGTCTTGGACATATGGGCCATGTCTTACTTTGAATAAAACTGTCTCATGACTGCCTCTACAGATTCCAACCCCAGAGATCCATCCTACCATCAGCTGCTAAATATGAAAAAATCTACCTAGAAAGTAAGTAAGCAAGTTGAAATAAGTTATTGAGAGACATACTAATTTAGTTTTTATTTTATCTTTTAAAAATATAATGAAAAGTATTACATACCTTCTTTTTGGAGTTTGAAGATTCAACAGGAGGATTGAATGTCATTGCTGCCATGCTATAAGCCTCAAAAAGTTCTGCAGCAGATCTATAATCACAAATATCAGAAACGTAAAGATACCATCATATCTGTATAATTCGAAAATAGATTGTACCCAAATGTTTATTATTCTAAATCCATATATTATTCTAAACCCATATATTAAAGTATAACATAATCCTGCTTTTGTTTTTTTCTCCTTAAAATGTTCTTTGTCCCAGGTTTTTTATCTTCTAGTTTTATTGAGATATGATTGACATAGAGCACTGCGTAAGTTTAAGGTGTACATGATTTGACTCACATCATGAAGTGATTATCAGTAAAGTTTAGTGATTAACTATGATCTCATATAGATAGAAAGCTAAATAGAAAAAAAAATTTTCCTTATGAGACTCTTAAGATTTACTCTCATAACAATGTTCATATATGACACACAGCAGTGTTAACTGTATTTATCATGTTGTACATTTCATCCCTAGTACTCATTTATGTTGTAATTGGAGGTTTGTAGCTTTTAACTGCCTTCATCCAATTCCCTCTCCTGTTAACCAGAAATCTGATCACTTTTTCTTTGAGTTTGTTTGCTTTTGAAGTATAATTTACCTACAACACTACATTAGTTCCAGCTACACAACATAGTGTTTCGATATTTCTATACTTTTCAAAATGATCACCACTGTTAAGTCTAGTTACTATCCGTCATCAAATATGTTACATAACTATTTAATGTATTCCCCACACTGTTCCTTTCATACTTGTGGCTCATTTATTTTGTAACTGAAAGTTTGTACCTCCTAATCGCCCTCATCTACTTCTCTCCTTCCCCCATACCCCTCCCCTTTGTCAACCACTACATGTTCTCTGTATCTATGTCTGTTTCTGATTTCTTGTTTGTTCTTTGTTTTGGTTTTTAGAGTGAAATCATACAGTATTTGTCTTTCTCTTTCTCACGTAGCATAATACCCTCTAGGTCTATGCTGTTGCAAATGGCAAGATTTAAGTCTTTTTTATGGCTGAGTATAGTCCATTGTGTGTATGTATGTGTGTTTTCTTTATCCACTCATCTGTTGATGGGCACTTAGGCTGCTCCATAGCTTGGCTATTGTAAATAATGTTGCAATGAACATAGGGATGCATGTATCTTTTCTAATTAGTGTTCTTGTTTTCTTTGGAAATCAACAAAATACACTTATATAAAATAAATTCTAAATCCTCATGCTATGACATTATCCCACTAAATCCACCTCAGAAAGGTCTGATAATACATTTAGAAATATAGGCCTAGATAAAAAGAAGCAAAAGACCTCAAGCTCAATGTGATCAAATCCCAACCCAACCAGTTATGTGAACGATATGCAACTAAGTGTGACTCAATCACGGAGCATAAGGCATGGAGTTATGCTTCACAGATTTAAAACAGCTCAACCCTTCACAGTTGTTTGCCTGGACTGAAAGCAAGGAGAAGCCAATCAGGACAGAATAAATGTTTATACCCACAGCATGTAAATGAATCCTTAATGATTTGGGGTTGGTTCCCATTCTCCAAAGGACACTGGCCAGGGCCTACAAAGGTTGCAATGAGGCTCACGTCCCCAGCTCCACTCCCCAGGGGAGGCCCTCCATAAGTCATCTTTCTCAAGCCTTTGGGATAAACCCATTCCTCATATTCCACCAGGAAATGAAACTCTGGCATAAATGAGGCAAATGTTCAAGATCTCTGATAAAATCATGCCAGGAAAGGACCATAAGAAAGTGACAAAGAATCGTTTTCTCCTTTTTTCCTTTTGAAAATCAAGGCTGGGGGACAGGTGGGAAGCATGAGGGATGAAAAAAGTAAATGTCCATTTTATTATTTAATAATGCCAAAGATTATCTCTATCTTACCCAGAAGGAAAAGAGTTTATGGTAAATTACATTTATGCCTCATTTAGAGAGGGCAGCAGCTGACTATTGCCATGTAAAAATATAGACCTGTTTTGCCAAATCGCTCAGTATTTCGAGAAGCAAGAAATGTGATTTTTAGGTGAATTCTTTCAATATTTAAAAGATAGCAACTAATTAGATTTTTGTTCAAACTTTGAAGAGGCCAGAAAATCTTGCCTACAGGTCACCTGTGACCTCTGATTTAAAGAAACCAGTAAGTGAAATTCAGGTCTTCCGATCACAAGACACCATTCTCCTTGTTTGGCCTATGCAATGAATCTTTCTCTGCTCCAAAGAAGTTTCAAAATAAAAAATAAACCAGTGTGCTTGCAAAGGAGAAAAATTTACAGCAAAATATTAATTCTGAGTGGTGGGTATATTACAAGGGTGTCTTTTATACCATTTTCCCTTCTTTTCTGTATAATTGAAGTATTTCCTAATTGATTTTGTGGGGAGAAGAAGGTAGTTACCACTGCTTCAACTTCTCTGTACTTTCTGAAATTTTTCAGAATAAATACTTGTGGGAAAGAAGCTTCTTTTAGGAGGACCCTTTCCCCCATCTGGAAGAGAGTGCAGGGTAAGGGCTGGAAGTACCAGCCCAAGCTTCTCACAGGTCAGGAGGCACTGGACAGAGATGGCCATGAGGGCCAAAGAGAGAAACTTCATTTCTGGACCTAGCAGAACAATTCAGGGAGATTAAAAAAAAGGAGTTTCACTGTGGCTGGACTCATGGATCCTCACATAAAGCAAATATGGCATTATCTTATTAATTGTTCAACCTAAGTAATGGGTGCAGGGATTCACTTTCTTCTACTTATCTGTATGTGTGAAACTTTTTATGACCGCCGCCCCCCCCCAAACATTGTTAAGTGATTACACAGAACAAACTAGCAAAATCACAGTCATCATGTCTTATCTTTAGACTAATTCAGGAGTATGAAGTGGACCAAATCCAGAATAACCAACAAGCACTTTACATTCTGAAATCTACTACTTTAAAACAGACTTCTCATAGTAAAAATAGCTGTCAACTGAAATCTTAAGTTCTATAATAAGGCAATGCTAAACACCACCTCCGGCTCAACTCTGGTTTGAGTGCTTCTGAGCCTTCAGAAGGGGCTCCAGCGATGAGGTGCGCTGCAAATCTCTGCACAATGGGATGGTAATGTCGCTGAAGGGGAAACAGGACAACCACATTTTGCACAGGTCAGTATTTTACAAAACACTAACTAAACTTTAATAAACACTTATTTAAAAAAAAAACACATATGCATAAGTAATTCTTAAGAACCACATACCTACAGAAAAAAACACTATCTTTGCTCACAGGATTCCAACAGATTCCAAACAGATTGCAAATCTGTTTGATGACCAAGATACTAGTAATGCTGCTTAGTCTTCCTTTTTACAGTATAAAAAGAAAAATCAAAGAGCAATTTCTCTTTCAGAATGAAAAAAAAGTTCTTTTACACCAGGTTTCCTGAAACATATTTCATACAAGCCTCACTCTAAAGCTGCTGCCCGCACTATAGGATCACAACATAGGTGAAACCCTCTTGAAACTGGTGGGCCTGTGGAAGTCTCCCTGGATAGGACGCAATACAAATGTGCCTGATGACAAATCTGAATAGTGCTAGGGAAAGATTTTAAGAAATCTTACCCCACAAAACTGTCATCATTTTCTGCTTCATTAGAAAATGCATCTCAACATCTTAACAGTAAGAGCAAAGTGAAATGTAGACTATTAAACAGG